CAATTCTATGTATTGGGAACATCTCAAGACAGATGCAAGACTCACAGGTAAAAATAAATAAATAAATAAATTTGGGGTGGCAAACAACCGAGGTAGCAAAATAGTCTAATCCCGGGGGGTGGGGGGGACAAGGAGTTCCCCAACTTGAAATAAGCCCTGCCTGCAAAAAAAGGAGCATAACATTAAAAGTATCTCTTGGCTTTCTGGCTGACTTCATATATATCCAGAAAGTTGCCTTTTTAAAAAGTAGTATCTTAAAATACAATAGGCTTTTAAACACTAACTGATGGCTGCACCTTCTGCACATGACCTCCCCCCCCCCCCCCCCCCCCGGTCAAAAGCAAGTCAAAAAGATATTAGCCAACTATATCATGTATAATAGTTAAGACATTAATGGCAATAAAAAAACTCCAGCAGTCTGTAAGTTTTTCTGCTGCAAGCAATCAGAAAAATGAAGATTTTTATAGTATTTAGCATTAGCAATAGCATTTACATTTCTATAGCACTTCATAGTGAACTCAGCACTCTCTAAGCGGTTTACAATCTGTAAGCCATTTTTTACAAGTCTGTTTGCACAGGAAAGGGCAGTAATCTAAAGCCAAGGCAGTGTCCAGGTCTGGATATAATTGTGATTAAGGGGGGGGGGTGAAGAAAGTGTTTTTTAACATACATTTTTTTGTTTATGGAACTATGAATATTTCATAAAGTATTAGAAAGTGGATGCATTCTGATAATTTAGGGATGCTCATACTAATTCAGACAGGCCACTCTAACAGCCAACTCGTATTTCATCTTCATTATTACTTCAGTCTTTGAAAGATGTACTGCCAAATCATGGGAGCAGGTACTTCACCCTCAAATAGTACAGAAAACATGCATTGGTTTCCACAGCTGGAAATGTTTTAACAGCGCTGATCAAAGAATTAGGTATAATCTTCCATTATTTTTAGATGTTGAACATGCAATTAAGTTCCAAGGCTATCATTACACAGAAAGAGTCATGTGCTGGCAATAATGGAAGTGCCAACACTAAGAAGGTAATTCTCCCTGTGCTCAAATTTATTTATTTTTGTAAGGAGCAGTTGTACAAGGTCAAAGGTTCTCAAAACAAGACACAGGAGCCTGTCTGGCAGAAGGAAAGCTCCTTTAAGGGTTCCTGAAGGCATGGACCATCTCACCACTGCTACCATAGGTTGACAGAAAGGGCACAATAAGATAGATCACAGAGGAGAGAAAAGGTTGGAACAGAAATAGAAGGGAAGACCAGAAGAATATTTTAGCTGGCAGTTTTAAAGACTAGTTAGTACAGCAGAACAAGCTGACACGACTGTATAACTTCACAAGGTAGATATTGACATATTGAACAATACACGAAAGTCCTAGTAAACTATTAATACTCAGTGGGTAATTCAGTGTGTGTGTGTGTGTGTGTAGACAATTATATACAGCAGATATTTTAAGTAGAGTTCTGAGAAGTAGAAATTTAAGTCTGTGCCAAGATTCATAAGACTAGAATCATAGGTCCATACAGTTGACTTGACAATGCAGAGAACCTCTTGGGCAGTAATTCAAAGTGTGAAATGCAGGTCTTCAAGAAAAATGTCCATATTGATTTCTGAAAAATCCCACACTGGCTTTAACTCTTGATTTCAGCCAACTTATACCATGATTCAATGTCTTCTGGCATGTTCTTACATCTCAGTAGCCACATTAGACTGTTATCCTTTTAACTTATAGGGATGGCAAGAGATTTGTTGATCACAGGCACAAGGAACATACTTTACTTATGATTTTGTAGAAAGAAATACCTGAATTCACCACTCTCTGCAAAATTGCTCAACATGATGAAAGCTGCAATCTGACCACTCTTGATTATCTTCCTTCCAGTTTTTCAGGGAAGGAAGAAGCAGGAAACCTACCATAGAATCTTGTAAACTGATTTCATTCATATGTGTCCAAAGTTCTAATTATTGTTTAATTATTGTTTATCAATTAATAAATATTAATTAAATGATGTGGCTTGAAAATTTTGCTTTTGTTAGCTGAAGATTCTGTTCTGTCGCACCTTACACATGTTGGCTGTTCAAATGCATTCTGGTATCAGGGCATCTCTAGTTTTAAAAAAATCCCAAAGCATGTGGAAACTTAGAAGTATACAAAATGAAATGTGTTCTTTAATATTTAAAAAAGAAAAATGTGGGGAATCTGTTACACAATGTTGAAAACCACCAAGGGCAGGAAATAGAAGTGTCTCATTCTTGACTACAAATGTTTTAGAGAAGTTCAAGTTGGTTCTTCTTTGTTAAAAAATTAAAATGAGTGATCTTTTTGCTATTAGACCTTGATAAATCTAAGAACTGCTTCAACAATGTCTTTATTATTATTCTGCCTCAATTCAAAGTTATCCCAGTAGCATCAAAGTTCACTAATCAAATGATACTCTCATATCAGAGGTTCTAAAGAACTTCAACTGAAGCTCCAAAGAGAAGGTGGACAATCTTGCAAGACTAGACATGAAATATTGTGCTATGAAAGTATCCTTGCATGGACTTGCTTCCTTCAAACTCTTGCTTTAAAGAAGTCAGGGCATGCTCCACATACAACAGCAGCACAGTGAGAATATATATGGTATACAAGGTCATTTCCATGGGAGAGACTTCTTTCCATATAGTAAATTACAAGAATCTGCAAACCAAAGTTTCTATTGTAGTTGTAAACAGGAGTGGAAAGAGAATAGAACGGTAAAGCATGAGGTTTAAACAGGCCCAAAATGACAAGGACATTAATCCAGTTATATGGTAAATCTTTCCAGGGTGTGATTTTTTCCCCCTCTGCTGTGCTTGACAAGGCCAGAGTCCTACCAGTTCTGGTTATCCCATCCTTCTTCAGCAGCTGAAGATGACTCTTTTGTTGACTTCTTAGGGGTCTTTTTGGCTTTGCCCTCCCCCGCTGCATTCTCCCAGTTGGTCTTCCAGTTTTCCCAGCTGTCACTATTACTGTTCTTGTTATTGGAGACTGTCCCTGAGCCCCAGACATCCCAGCTATCGGAGCTCTTCTTCTCCATAGAATTGTCCACATACGTCCAGCTATCACTGCTTGGAGACTTGTGTGCCTTTGGTGGCTCTGAGTTGCCAAAGGTCTCCCAAAAGCTTTGATCCACTGCATTGTTTTGATAACCTTCACTGCTATTCTGGTAGCTCTCTCTCTCAGATGACCTTTCAAGGAGGAAAATATAGAAAAATTGGCTAGTTTAGTTCACTGAAAACTTAAGAATAGCTGCTATTGTGTTCATATTCTTGCTGATGGTTTTAAAAATGGATTACACAAACTCATGGAAGACAGGGCTGCTAATACAATTTATCATGGCTATATCTGACCTCTTATATCAGAGGCAACTTGCCTGTCAATACCATTTGTGGAAGAATACAAGCAAGAAGGTACCATTACTTATCATCTTCTCAAAGGCATCTGGTTTGTCACCGTGGGAAACAAGATACACTTGGGCCTTCACATTTGCAGCTTTGACTTTTGTGGATTTGATTATTTGCGGTTTTGATTAATATGTTTTCTCTAGGAATGTCTAGGTCCTCCAGCACAACTCTACCAGAAGTTGATCATAAGAGTTGTGTTGAAAAACTTAGACATTCCTAGAAGAAACACTTCTCTGGGCATTTGTAGGTCCTCCAGCTTGATTCTATGATCAACTTCTGGCAGATGTTGACCACAGAGTTGCACTGGAGGACCTGGAGATTCCTAGAGAGGGGTTCTCTTAGGTAAAAGGAATAGTGGGGTTTTTTATTTGCAGTTTTTCCACATTCACGGGGATCCTTCACCCCTAACCACAGCAAATGTGGAGGGACCACGGTACTTGACTTGACAGTCTTTGGGTCTCATCCAGCAGAATTCCTCTGATAGAAATAAACACAATTTTTCTATGCTATTCAATTTCCACCTTGGCTCTCAAAGAATAATAAAGGGTCGAAGAGCCCCATAACTAAGTGGGGCTCCAAATGAAGATATAAAAGGCAATAGGTACCCAGAAATGTGGAATGGGGGGGGGTGGGGGTGGGAGAGGAAAACCAAACTTCATCATACAACAGGAAGCAGTTGTTTTTACAAGGGCTATGATGGGATGACACAGGAAATAGTTTATAGCTCACCCTCTCTGTTTTCCTATGGGAAGGGCAATCATCCTTGACAGAAATTAGGTCTGACTCAAACTTGACAGAAATACTAGGTGTAAGTGCAATTAAAAGATGGGATATAAACTTTTTAAACAAAGAATAATAGGTTATGGGGAAATAAGACTGTGAGGATTCAGCTGAAATGACAAGCAGGCTATTTAAGTGGTAAGGGAAAATCTTCCATCATAAGAGAAATACTCAGAAAATGACCATGGGGGACATTTGGGATGATAAACCTAATTTGTGTTTTTCTCTGTACAGTGACTGGTTCTAGGATGAGACTGAATGTAATGGATTTAGGATAGGTAATTCTGAATAATAGGGGCACTATAGTTTTTTGTGGGTTTTTCGAGCTGTGTGGCCATGTTCTAGAAGAGTTTCTTTCTGACGTTTCACCAGCATCTGTGGCTGGCATCTTCAGATAAGATGAAGATGCCAGCCACAGATGCTGGCGAAATTCTCTGAAGATGACAGCCACAGATGCTGACAAAACGTCAGAAAGAAACTCGTCTAGAACATGGCCACACAGCCCGAAAATCCCACAAAAAATTATGGGTGCCGGCCATGAAAGCCTACAACTTCACAATAGGGACACTATTTCATATTCAACTGATTGGGTCCAGACTTAAACATATTTAGAGCAGACCAACTAAAACTGTGTATGTGTTGTGTACCTTAAAGTTGTTTCCAATTTATGGTAACCCTAAGGTGACTCTAGCATGGGATTTTCTAAGATTAGTTCAGAGGGGGTTTGTCAATGCCTTCCTCTGAAGGTGAGTGTGTGTGACTTGCCCAAGGTCACCGAATTGATTTCCACGGCTGAGCAGGGATTCAAACCCTGGCCTCCAAAGTTGTAGTTCAATGCTTAAACCATTAAACCAGCTGGCTATAAGAAGTTAATCAAGCTCTCTCTCACTTCAAAAGGTCTACTCTCAGGATGATTTTGTCTAGATGCAACCCATGGTTATTTCTTTCGAATCGCTACTCATGCTTGGCTTTAAAATGCTACAGTTGGTTTCCAAATGTATGGAAAGGGGCAAACTCAAGAACAATTTAAAAGGAACAATGAATTTCTTATGAAACAAATATCTATTTTGTCCTTTTTTATTGCTATGTAAGGTCTCAGTGTTGAACTAGGACTCTGGGTGACCTTGGACAAATCATACTCTCTCCGTCCAAGAAGGCAATGGCAAACATCCCCTGGATAAATCTTGTCAAGAAATTCCCATGATACATTTGCCTTTGGGTTGCTATAAGTTGGAAACAACGTAAAGGCACACTACAAGTACACTAAAAGTCTCAGACCTCCCAGAGGGCCTTCTCCGCAACTGCTCCCAGACTTTG